TTTTTTTTCACATGGGTGCATTGTGGATGACGGAGAAGCATAGATCTATGAGGTATTTCCCACCCTTTCGTAAGGGGGAATATTTGGAATAATTTTAACCTATTTAGAACTTTGGTTGAATTTTTCGATACGCTAGGAACATTTTCCTCCTGTTGCTGTTGTTGTTTCTGCTGCTGCTGCTGTTTCTGCTGATGTTGCTATTGCTGTTGTTGCTATCCCTGTTCTTGTTGTTGTTGTTCTTCTTCTTCCTCTATAGATTCAAGTTTATTTTCAAAGGATAGAAATGGGGAAGCTCGATGTCTTTTTTTCTTTTTCACTTTTTTCATTAATTCTTTTCTTTTTTCTTCCCTTCGTCTTTGTCTTTTTTCCAATTTTTGTTCTAGCATGAATTTACTATATTTTTCATTAATCCAAGTATTCCATCTGGAGTCATTTACGCATTTGTCAGCGAGTGATTCTACCCACTGGTTAATAGAAGGTTTTTTTTTATTCATCCATAGGGTCAATTTTTTATATTTACTGTATATAACTCGTTCCTCCTTAATTCTTACCCAGTTCTCCCATTCTTGTTTTTCATTGGTGACTCTTTTTTTCCATGTCTCCCATTGTCTCCTCTTATTAAAATATAACCATTTCCACGTTTCTGTTTTTTCCCATTCATTCCAGTATTCATTTTCTTTGAGTTTCCATTCAGCCATGAGAAATTTAGAGATTTTGTTGTTTTTCCATTGTATCCATAGTTTTATTAGCCATGTATTTAATTGGGACTCATTCTCTTGTATCCAACTTTTCCAATCGCGGTAGATAAGATTCTTGAGTTCATGTTTTAACTTTTCTTTTATTTGACTTTCGTCATCACCTTTTAGGCAACTCTTTATAAGTCTGCATCCGTATTCTTTATCTATATTATCTATGTCCATCCATTTATTCTCCATTTCGTTCATCCAGTTTTCTAATTGTTTGTCTTTACTATCAATCCAGTTTTGTCTTTGTTCTTCTATCCACAAATTTAAAAGTTGCCATTCTTCTTCGATATTGGCCATATATTTTTTCCATTCTTTGTTTTTCCATTTCTCTAATTGCTCTTCCGGCATTTCCTGGAGATATGTTAGAACTGCGTGATTTTTTTGTTTATCTGCTCCAGTTAAAAGTTTTCTTATTTTTTCCATTCCTTCAGCTATATGCTCTTCAATTCCTTTATTCTTTTCTTCTTGTTTTGTTAGGTAATCCTCCTTATGGCTTCTGTGGTAATATTGTTGGTCAGCCTCCTCTTGTTCTTCGTTTTCTACTTCTTCCTCTTCGTTCTCTACTTCTTCGTCATCGTCTTCTACTTCTTCGTCATCGTCTTCTACTTCTTGGTCATCGTCCTCTACTTCTTCGCCATCGTCTTCTTCCTCGTCTACTTCTTCATCTTCGTTTTCTACTTTTTCGTGCTCGTTTTTCTTGTCCTCCTGTTTTGTCTTCCATAGCATGGAGAGTCTGTTCGACTTTTTAATGAAAAACCGAAAATTTGAAAGAAGAGAGGGGAGTTGTTACATGTAGCTCGAAATGGTTGTCCCTCAAGCACGTTTTGATTTTCCCAGTGCATTTTTTTTCTTTTCCTAATGGAGTTTCCCGCACATCTTAAAAATGCCACTTTGGTTTAAAGGGCGGGAGGGCCCACAAAAGGATGCACATGTGTGTATATGTGCACATGTGAGCAGTAAAGGTTGCTCGATCTCTTACCGAATATAGATGACGTAGAGAAAGGAAAAAAAAATATATGGAAATAATAGCCAAAACGTACTTAAACTTCCCATCGAATTGTCCTGCCGGATTGAAACTGCCTAGCTGTGTGATAACTGGAGGACATGAGGCGTCTACAATACTAGTGGCTGCATCATGATCTATCTCGATATTTTTTTCCATTGCTCAGTTTAGGTAGATATAGTTTACAAATTTTTAATAAAAAGAGCACTCAGATTTGTTGGAACCTTCTTTTTCTTGTGCATTGCACATAACTATTTCCCCTTCTCTGAAAAGCAAAAAGCGAGAGCTGTTTCTTTGAGGTTAAGGAAAAAAGAAAAGAAAAAAAGTGCAAAATGAAACAAATGTGAAAAGGAGGAAAAACTAAAAACTACGAAGAAAGGCAAAACGAATGGGGGAAAAACGAATTAGGACGAATAGTTGCACATTACGGCAACTCAGCTGAAGGGCGGCGTGGCAATGATCCTCAGATGCCAACAGGGGTGCATAAACAAATTCGCATCTATGTATATATATTTAAGTATATTTATGCCTACTTATGTATATTTATGTAAATTTAGGCATATTTATATATATTTATTTGTACGGACTTGTTTGTGTATATTTATTTACTCCCCTTCAACCGAAGCCCACTTGACGAAAAAAAACAATGCTTCATTAAGAGGGAAAAATAAAGTCGCGCATGTACCTATGTAGTGACGTTCACGCTTTCCTAATTACAGTGGTAGCAGTTTAAGACGGCCCCCGCAGTTTCAACTTCTCCTTCAACTAGACTACGTCGAAGGAGTAAAAAGCAACTTGGCATAAAATTGGCTCGGCCTCACAAAAAGAGGCCATAAGGAATATATATAGATGTACATCGGCACAGGCGTATATATAATTACCAAGTATATATATGCGTTGATTATATGTAAGGGCGTTTTTCTATTTTTCTGGCTTCACAATAAATAAATCAAGTCAAGTGCACTTTTATGGCCAAAAGGGAGTATACAGAGTTACGAAAAAAAATTCATTTTTACTTAAACTTAATATGTAAAATGTCTCTCGGCGTTGTTGCAATATATCCAATATATAATACAATATATGCAATCTATACAAATATATACAATATATGCAATCTATACAAACATATACAATATATGCAATCTATACAAATATATACAATCGATGCAATCTATACAAATATATACAAATATATAAAGTATATGCAATATATGCAATACATGGTGTCATTTGGGCGCGAATTTAATTCGCACCACGCTTATTTCTAGTGAGCATTTGTGAATGGCGCTGGTCAACAATCGGTGATCGGTGAGGGATGATAAGCCATCGCATGCACCAGCTCCAATTCGGTATCTAATATTTATTCCATTGAACTTATATATAGATAACCTAATCAGGAAAAAAAAAAAGAAGGACAAAAAGGTGATATGGGCAAGTAACCAATGGAGTTTATAAAAAATATATATAAAAAAAAGAATAAGCTTTGCTTTTTATGGTTATATAATAGGCATGAAAAACGTTTGCCCCCTTTTATATATAATTTTTCCTTTTTTTTCTAATTATTATATATTCTTTTTTTTTAAAATGGCATCATTTCTTAGCGCAGTTGTTTTTATAAATGCCTATATATTTATAATACAATAATATACAATAATACATATGACAAAACAGTAATGCAATGAGGGTGCCAGCCAAAAGTGTGTTTGGATTAGCAAGCTGAACATAAACGAAAATAGAAAAGCAGAAAGGAAGAAAAAAGACCTACTGCTGCTTTCTAAAAGGGCATTGGCACCATTATGCGCTATATTTTCTATTGTTTTAAATGTTGGACTTTGCCTCGACAAGGACGCGGCATTAGTTATGCAAATATATTATATATGGTCCCTGCGCCATTAGTTCTGCCACAAAATTGCAGTCGATTTTTGCCTGCCTACAATTTTTATCATAGTTTTTTTGGTAAGCAGAGAAAAGGAATCGTTTCTATGTGAAAAGGGTCCAACATCGAGAAATAAATTATATATAAATTGGGTGCCCCCAATTATTGTAGTCAATAAATAAAAAATGTATTGGCATATCCCTGCAACGTTTAGAAGGGGAAGTTCTCCTTAAATGCTGGGTGCGAATATAGATCTGAATTACGGCCGGTGAGGATTATAGGCACATACTTAAATATCTATGTATATATAGGTATATATATGTGTATATATATGTATATATGTATATATATGTGTATATATATGTATATATGTATATATACACATATATATGTGTATATAGGTACATACATGTACATATAAGTACATATATATATGTACTTATATATGCTCGTTCGGAACCCCTTTTCTGTTGTAACGTTTTTTTTCTCCATTGCGAGAGTCGCAACCCGTGGAGGTGGTTACCAAATAAATGTTTTTCAAAAAGCGAAAAGGTCTCTGCTCACAAGCACGAATGTTTTATTTTCCTGTTTTATTATTTTAACCCCTTAGCACGAAATGGTAGAAAAAATATATTTCTCCTACGGGGTGGCAGGATATCAGAAGCGGGTAATATAAGCATAATTTTTTTTCTTTTGCTCTGCTGCACGAGAATGACCTATTTTTTGCAGCATTCTTCGACTTTCCTTCCACCCCTTCCTCGCTGTTACTTGGAAAAATCGTTTTCATCATTTGTTAGAATAGTAAAGAAAAAGTTAGGCAATGAATACTTATCTTATGTATATCTGCGTATCAGCCTACCTTTTTAGCAATTATAAAATTGTAGGTATAGAGAGAAAGACAAATTTGTGCCATGTGACAAAGAAAAAGGGCCTTTTTCAAAGTATCCCGATTTAGTATGTATACTTGTACATACTGGCATCACATCACAAGAGTGTAATAAGTGAAAAGAATTATTATTTTTCTTCTTTTATGATAGCTACTAGTTATATTATGTGCAAAGCTAGGTAGAGTTATTTTTTCTTCCTCTCTGCTCGTCGCATAATGCAGCCAATTCGATGACTATCTAAAACGTCAGGATTCCAATTTTGGTTCCCCTTCCCCAGCTAGCGATAACGAAATGGTGGTGTTATTTCGTACAGTGGAATAAGGGCCCTGTCGTTTCTATGCATGCATGTACATATACATAGAGATCAACATATACATGTACATAAACATATACATAAACATGTGTCTGTTTACACAGTGACCATTTGTGCAAAAGAAGCGGGTCATTCTTAGGAACCCTTCTCGACCACTTTAAAGGTTTGGTGATCACATATAGTGTGCGGTGAAATAACTCATCTAAACGTAGAAAAGAAATGCGAAAAGATGTTTTTAAAAATGTACGCAATGATAAATGTGCTTAAACACGGACTTGAATTGAGCGAGAAGGAAGTTATAACGAAAAAGGAAAAAGCGGATTCTAAAAAATCCCTTTGAACAAACAAAATTGGAGAGAGATTCCTCAAAATATCCCCTCGAATTAAGGATGTGAAGAGGGATTTATCGCCCCAGAGATCGTACACTAGATGGAAAATGTCTGAAACGGTTGGGTTCTATCACTTCAGTTACAGTACAAATTACAAGTGCATCACCAAATTGATCACGTAAATGCAAAAAAAAAAAAAAATTTACGTTTTATTCTATATACTACCTTTTTAACCCTTAAAATATAGTAGGAAAAGGGCTTAAATTATGCACTGATCCGAAAGGAAAATTCCGATTTACAACTTTTATGAATAGAAAATAGGGAAGATACAAAAGTGAAGGAAACATGTGCAAATATTTGCTGCATATGGCAAATCGTAGCATTGATTTCTTACCGTAAAAGTTGCAAGGATCATGAGGGCATAATTAAAATCAAAGATAAGACAAAAAAAAAAAAAAAAAAAAAGGAACCCATAAAGATCTCACAACGCTGCAGCGCTAAAGCGTTAGGAGTCATACAGTATGCACATTCTTACAGAATACCATATCATAGAAGGATAAAACGAAAAAAAATTAAAAAATACCAAAACAACATAGAATTTTGCGTCGCCAATTTATGCGCGCCGCCCTGATTAACAACGAATAGAATCAGTAAAGCGAATGTATTGATCGTAATGCATATGTGTAACAACGGGGGGGAAAACGACTCAGCTATATTAGCTCAAACGACGTTTTTTAACATTTTTAATTAGACATGATTAGAAAAATGTATTTACCTCACTGGATTAAAGTTTGATTGTATAATTCCCATTTGCTGCTTTTTTCATGGAGCACTCAAATAGACGTTGAAAGAGAGAGAATAAAAATGCGTCCTATTCACTTCCCAATTTTTTTACATCGATTTAATTTGCTTTTTTTTTTGTGGCCAGGGGTCAATCGCAATCATTCCAACATTCCAACATTCCAACCCTTCCAAGGAACATATTTGCATGCAGCCGTAAAATGTATCTCCTACCTTTGAACTCGTCAGCCCCATTTGCTCTACGAAGGAGCCAATTTATTAGCTTATGTTATGTTGCGTATATAGGTAAGCTTTTATATAGACACATCAAAATTCGCTTCAGGTATCTCTCTGCGGAACCAATGTGCCCATGATTGCTTTATATTATTATTCCAATTTTCGTCACTTTTTTTTTAAGATATTTTATAACGTTCCACTTTTCATTTTCTTCTTTCCACGATTCTTCACATCTGTTATCCCTCTTTAGTTTTCTAAGACGACTCATGAAATCGTGTAGGCGTCGTCTATCTGTTTCATTCCTAACACAGCGCATATGAGAAAATGTTTTATGCATGTTTTTCCATATATCCATCTTGCTATATCTGCTAGGGTCGGAATGTAATCCATACGCTAATGCAATTTGGGACCTGCTTGTTATATCTGACCATGCCCTATTGTCTATATCGTCTAACACTTTCCATTCCTTTGCGATTATGTCGTCGAAGTTGACGGATTTAGTGACTGAGCGCGAGTTTCGGTCTTTTCCGTTACCTTTTCCGTCTCCTTGTCTGTTACCTTTTCCGTCTCTTTTTGCTCTTCATCCGGTTCCACTATCTGCCCTATTTCCACCGTTTCGTAGTTATTTTCTAGTGCTCGGTGTATGCGCCCCGCTTCCACAATTTTATAATTGTTTTTTCCTGGTTTTATTATGTTCACCATTTTAATGTCTTCATAGCTGAGTTCCTGTGGATATTTGATTTTCCTTATTTCTGTCCTTTTTTCATCTCTACTTAGGAGGCTTTTTAAATCCTACTTTGGACGCATTCTTAACTGACTCTTGAGCATTTTTTTATCCTTCCATTTTCCTTCTTTCTTCCGTTGAGTCCCAGAATCCCTATGTTCCTTTTTTGTGTTCTCATATTTAAAAAGGTTTTTTAAATTGGTCCTTAAATCGCTTCTCAATTCGTTGTAGAAATCACTATCATTTTGTGTATAATCCTCCTGTTCGGCTTTCTTCTCTTCTTGCCGTCCTTTAACATAAATGGGTTTGTGCGTAACCTCATGGTTGTCATTTTTACACCTGACTTTGAGAAGTCTCTTGAAAAGGCTTCTTTCCGTGTCGCAGCAAATTGATCGTATAAGGAAGCTATACAGAAGAATTAGAGGGGCACTTTCTGCAGCTTTTTAGAAAATATATCTTTCACACATTTGTACGAACATATGTGTGTGTTTCTTTTCTTTTCTTTTTTTCTTTTTTTTTTTATAAAGAGTGAAAAAATTAATATATTCATTTCGGTATTAACTAAAAAAACTTTTTTTCCCCTTTACCTGTGGAGGGTTAAAATAGAAAGGAGCGCCGCGCCCGATTTGAACGCCATTGTTTGTAGGAAAATTAACTCTTTAGACAATATGCCCTACAAAATTGAGAGAAAAAGTAATTAGAATTTTATGTGTATATTCTTCGCAAGTCTACACATTTGGATGGTGTGGAGCCGATTTATGAAAAGATATGTTTCTAATAATATGATCAAACTTGTGTATCTGTGATGTCCTTACGATGTAAAGTATGTTCCCCTTTAAAGAAGGAGTGTATGGTGAGTTTATTTGTTCATTTATTAGGGATGGGGAGTACACGTATGAATGTGCACATGTACATACATTTATGTGTGCACTTTTGCGGATGAATGCTGGCAAAAATGTTATACATATAGAAGGAGTAGGTTGTCCCTCTATGAATAGAGAGCAAAAATGTTTTCTTAACATGTAAATGGATTTACTTTGGGGTGGTTACATTATAACGGATTGCTAAATATACCCTCATTCTGCAGTTGACACGGAATGATTCTTTTTTTTTTTTTTTTTTTTTATAGAACAAAATTGTTCTATTATGCTGGTGAACGTTATATGGCGCACATTCAGTTGCATATATATACGTATACTTACAGCTCCTTCATTTTGTTTCCTTTTTTTTTTTTTAGTTACTACTTTTTAAAATAAAAGAATTATGATGCATTTATGTGGATCGTACTGCAATGTATTGACATATTTTTATTTCTTTACGCGATCTCCTTGAGGACCAGATTCTGGCAAAAATTGCAATTCACTACTAACATTTGTTCTGTTGCTATTATTATACGTGTTAACTTTAACTATTGAGTTGATTAAAAATTTATTGCAAATTAGGAGAAATTATAAATATTTAAATTCACTATGAATTTCCAAAATTAAATGGTGTTCTTTATTGGGTAGTTTTTTCACAGAAGTGATTTTTTTTCTTTTTAGGAGGTATATAAAAGGAACTTGTGCGATATTTTTTTCCCATAAGAAAGGATATATTTTAAGTAACGCGCAAATGGATTTAATAACTTGTAAATATTTTGGTATCTCTTACTTTATTTTTTTGCGTGATGTTGATTTGTTCGCACAGTGTTCTACCTCGTCTGGTGGGAAGTAGAATTTTCAGTTGCTTCAATTCTTATGCTCATGAAGAAGTATATGTGCAGGTATAAACAGAAATATATATGTGTGCTCAAAAGAACAATTTTTCTGGTGAAGGAGATCCAACTAACGGTGTGTATATGCGTGTGTTCGCACTTAAGAGAAATTTTTTTTCCTAGGGACTTACTACTTGTGGCATGTAAATATATATATTCATTTTTTCAGTGCATTTAGTAAAATAGTAAGATATTGTACGACGGGGAGTTCGGAGAAAAAAGGAAGCCTCTAATTCTGTGGCAATATAAATGTGTTCTAATGGTTGAAACTAGACGCATGCGATTCAATATATGTACTTATACGTGGGGTTAAATGAACAGAGAATTTACACCTTTAATTATTTTGCGATCTGATCTTATAGTGGGACAAGCGGATCTGTGTGAAGATTAACAGGAATAACATATTATAGGAACAAATTTGAAAATGGCTTCTTATCGATGGACTGTAACGTCAGTAAATTTTTGTTTTAATTTCCATCATTGTCCTAATTGATGAGTAAAATTTTATTTTATATTTATAACAAAATAAATGTTTTTTTTTTTTTTTTTGTAAAAGTGTTAATGAATATATTTTGCTTCCTCTTTAGGGAAGATTCCTTTTCTCAGTAGACTCGTTTGCTTAGCCAAACAGGCCATTTAAAATCTTTATTTTACGATGTAGACTACTTTTGTGAGAAGGGAAGGGGGGGTAAAAAGTCCTATAAAAATAGGACTTCCTTGCATTTCTTTGCACCAATTTATTTTATGTAAAGATTTAATTACACATAAGAATAAATCGATGACAAAAATTCAGTTATAACTACAGACCTCTCAATTTTTGGTGGGACAAGCTAAACGGAAAAACCAGCAAATCTCCCAAAGCGGAACGGAGAAAAATGAAAAAATAAAATTATCAAAATAGACAATGTGCTTGATGGTTCATTTAGTAAATCCACGCAAAACACAAATTGAGGATATCAGCAGGACAATATTCAAATGAATATGTAACATATGCACCATACATGTGAAGAATTTTATATATAAACTAAATGAGAATTACAGTTTACTGGCTGGTTCACTTACTCATTTACGTATAAAGCTTTGGCGGGACGTTTAATTGTTAGGAACACCTCTACAGTAATGCCTTTCTCCTTACATGGCCCATAATTTTTTATATATTTATGATTGAAGCCGGGTTAGAAAGTCGCTAACGCGGGGATTATTCAGAATGGGAAAGCGGCAATTATATTTTGCGCCAATATGTAGTAAATATATATGCAGTAAGTATAATATATGTAATATATATAATATGTAATATATATAATATAAATATTATGTACAAATGGCCATGAACCCTTGAAAGCGCAGGGAAGCCCAAACCCTGCTTCTCAGCAGCGGCAGCCCCCTTTAAAATATTCCAGAACAGACCCTCCCTACTGGGGGGTATCATATGATTGTATTGTATAAATTATTTATAAAAAAAATTAAATAGAAAAATGAATTTAATAGAACCATTTTCCCAACCCTTTTTTGCGTTGAATTCGTTAACAAACTACAACAAGTTGTATTACTCTATTAGAATTTTTTCCTTTTCAGGCTTTGGTCGGAAAAAAAAATGATAAATTTAAAAAAGAAAAAAAAAAAAGAAGCCGTTGCTTGGCATCTTATTTATTAGTCGAGTTTAGGCTTTAGAACTAGTCGCATAATTTTTTATAGTTATTATAATAAATTGGTTTTTATAATATAAACATAAGAAAGGACATTTAATTTAATGTACACGCAGCTCTACATGCCCATCTAACGCTTTAATTTTAGAAGCCATTTAAATGAACTTGCTTTTTTTCGTTTTCAAATATCTAACATTTGTTGATGTCATTTTTTCGCCTTGTTGAATGGGAGCGTTCCTGCTATTGCGAAGAATTCGTAGCGTTCGGAAAAAGTACGCAGAAATATATGCAAATTATGCCAATTGTACAAATTATGCAAATTGTGCAAATAGCTACTTATATATATATGCACAACTGATTCATATATCTGTTCACTTCTCATGTACACGTATTTATTTCCTTCTTCATTTATATGGAAAAATTAAGGGATCAAAGCGCCCTGTCGAAATTTTGTTATGTTGTGCCTTTAAGATATGACAAGAGGAATATGGAATATTTTAACGATGAAATATTCTCTTTGTCAAGAAAACAGCTAGATGCAAGCAAAGCGAACGTCAGGAATTCTCGCAGATCTGAAGCAGGCATACAAACCGAAAAATGCCTAAGAAGAAATGTGCTGACACATTTTCTGTCGCCTAAGCTATACGCCGCGTCGTCACTCGTCGTGATTTGTGCCCTATTGCAGGTAGTGAAAAGACCCATTACGCATCTTGTTATTGTGCGTCGAGCTCAATGAGTATATTATTATCCATTTGGGCCCCTTTGTTTTTCTTCCGCTGCATACCTGTGTTGCTTCTCACGTCTGCCGCTTTGCACATGTGGTGTTTTCAATTCCTAATTTGGAGCTCCCTTTTTACGTTAAAAGAACTTTTAATCCCTCCCCTTTTCGCTTTCCTTTCGGCAGCTTTTCCATTTATGCCTGGATAATGGAGACATAGGAAGCGGATTAAATTTCGGATATATGGAGGGAAGAAATTTATCACAAAATAATGGGAGTAATCGACCAGGAGACGGAGGTAGGAATAGGGAAAGAAAGCAAAAGAGCAAGGAAACATTTTTAAATTTGCCTCATGTGGAGGAAAAACAAGAAAGTGGTGGTTGTAGATATGAAGAAATAGAAACGATTTTAGGTGGGTCCCATCATTCCAATGAAAATCATAATACAACTTATTATGTTACATTACCCGAAGATCAATCAAAAGAGGAATCCGAAGATCAATCAAAAGAGGAATCCGAAGATGAATCAAAAGAGGAGTCCGAAGATGAATTCAAAGAGGAGTCCGAAGATGAATCTAAAGAGCAGTCCGAAGATGAATCTAAAGAGCAGTCCGAAGATGAATCAAAAGAAGACTCCGAAGATGAATCGGAAGTGGAATCAGAAGGATCAGCTGCAGGAGTGTCTAGAGAATCAGAGGAGCATCCTGAATATTCTGATGAAGAACAGGACCGTGATGAAGATGATTATGAGGAAAATGAGATGTTAAGTAGTGGAAAGGGCGTCTCTGGTTTTGGAGAGTCAAGGAAAGAGAACGATCAAGATTTTTTACGTTTAGACACTGATGAAGCGTTTTCTGAGGATTCAGATACAGATACTGAATCGAGAGAAATGTTAACAGAAGAAGAATTAAATAGAAGGATTAAAGGATTAAGGGGAAATTTGGATGATGCTGAAATGCTTTATTTATTGAATAGCTTCCAAGAAATTGAGAAGAAGAAATTTCAAGTTATGATAAGACATCTATGGCAGTGGTGTGAATTATTAGCCTTTGAATATAAGATTCCAGAAGATCCTTTATTAACGGAATGGAAAAAAATTGTTGAAATTTCATCGGATGCACTAATGAGGAAGACTGTTAGTGATTATAGAGATTTTAAAAAGTTGGTTAATGAGGGATTGACGAATAGTATGGATTTTGTTTACTTTCTGAATTCTAAAAGGAAAACGTGGGACATTTTTCGATCCAAAACAGAAACTGTCTGGAAAAACATTATAGATAACAAATTTAGAAATTATTATAATTAAAAGGGTAAGACTAAAGCGCGACACGTTCCGACTGTGGTGACGGTAGCTAGGTGTCATATGTGGAAACTCCTGTAATGGAAGAAAAACGAATTCTTAAAAATATGATGAGTTGAAGAAGATTTCAACAAGAAGTCAAAGGAGCCTTGCCAAGATCAGAAATAATAGCCAATAAGGCATCTATTATGTGCGTTTATAATCGTTTCTACAGTTGTGCCATGAATTACATAAGAGAATTATTCTCGACTGAGAAATTTTAAACATGATTATGCTCTTTGCTGAAGGGTTTGCAGTAGAATAATGCATGTAGAGGTGGCTCATTTAGAGTCCTCCAAAAGGAAGCAGATGTTAGTCTCCCCATCTTACCGTTATTATGTAATGTTTTTTATTGTAAAGACCATTTTTTTGTAAAAGAGAAAAGACCTCGTTTTTTTGGTTTTATTTTTTTATTAGGTCCCATTTTTGTTGATTCTCCGTTTTATCGCCTCGCTGTCTTATCGCTTCACTGTTCCATTGTTTTTGTTGTCTTTTCTAATTTCCAAGAAAGAAATTAATTTTGTTCTATTTTTTTTTGGAGCACGATTTCCATTTTGAAACCACCGTACATATTTGAAATAGGTGTTATACGTGATACGAAATCTTATTTTGAATTTTCTAATTTGTTTGATATCCGCATGTGTCCGTATTACATTCACAGAATATATATATACATGTGCATCCGCAATAGGTATGCCAAGTTTTGTACATATATATATAACGCTTGTGAAGACGCTATACATGCAAATTAAATTTTAAAAAAACCTTGTGTTGCATATATTTCTTTTTTTAAAATAAGTTCCTTGCAGGTGCACAACCATGTGCACCTACTTGTTCCTTCAATTTAGTCAAACGGAGTATCCACATGTATGTATCTATGTTTATATATAATACGTATGCGCAAACATTTTTTGTTTTCTCTCATTTCAAGTGAAAGAAGTGCATGAAAAAACGCCTACAAAATAATAAATAATTAAAATTGTTAAGCCAAAATGAGAACGATTCCGCATCAGCGATGGCACCCAATTTGAAACATTATGATGTTATCTCGTTGCACGCCAGCATGCAACTGTTTCATTTGGAATAGGATAAAATTTAAAAATCAGAGAAGAGCTAACTTTGTCGCTTTGTATTTAAACGGTTTTAGCATTCGCTGTTCAGAAATTGCAGCACATGAAAAATTGAGGGGGAGAATAATTTTTATAATTATTTACGTGTGAACGGTGAACGGATCATTTGCACACGAGGTAGCCGGCGAGAGCTCCTGAATAAATAACTTGTCCGATAAGACGCGTTCGGATTGTTCAGAGGATGGGGAGTGTGTTACATCGCTAAATCGCTACATTCCTATTTTATCATTTTTTCCCCCTCCTATTTTACTATTTTATATATTTGTATTGTTATGCATGAGCACCGCACAAACAACGTTGTGTTGTAAATTTTGAATTTTTTCCGCAAGAATCGCAACGAATGGAAATTCCTGAATTGTGCAAAATGAGCAACTGGCATTAAGAGGCAGGAAATAGAATTTTAAGAAAAGATATTGGTACACTTTTAATTTTTCCGTGGGAAAATGACTTTAAAAAAGAGGGCAATTTTGCGTAGATAATTTTTCCTAAGAAGAGTAATAAGATTTGCATTCCTTTTGCGGAGAACATGTGTCCTTATTGCTTATCCACATAGCATGAAAATTTTTCTCTTTTTTTTTTATTTATAAATGGTGCAAAATAACATTATTATCCATTTTCGGAAATGGGGAAATGGGGAAGTGCGAACTTTGGCCTAATGTTCGAATCATTGTGTGCTTCAGAAAAACGGAAAAGAATACCACCTTAGGCGTTTTATGTGCGCTAAACTTAGAATATTTTCGCATTTTTAAAACTTCAACGGGTTGTGTGCAAAATGGTTTATAGCAGCGCACAGGTATCCATCGAAAGGACAAAATTTGAATTGCAAAGTTGTTAAAGGGATTTGCTCAAAGGAAACAACGATATAGGCAAATTGGTTTTGGAATTAATTCTGGTATTCGGGGATGTTTCTACTCATTTTTTGTGCTTTATTTTTCTCCTATAGTGTTGCGCCATTTATGCACCGCTTTGGTTACGAAGAAATGGCTGATTGTCTGGTCGATTGACCAATTGTTATTTTTATGGGATCCCGAAATTTGTTATTTTCCCGATTTGCATATTTAAGTATGAAACTATCTACGTTTACAAAAGAATGACAATCGCTTAAGCGCGATTAGTGTCTTTATCTGTTTCACATTTGTGCAGCTTGGATAATGGCCCTTGAACTGGTATTGCAAAATTGTGGATTCTTCGCTAGTCATTCTTCATGTAACGTGAGACAAGGTACATTTATCAGATCGTAATTCGAGAATCTATCAATGCGTTTCTGTTGACAAATTGAAACTTCGGTGCAGCACAAAGGGGGGGATTATACATTTGTATATATATATATATGGGCGTTATAGTACGAGGACGCATGCGAACATTTAGAGATATTCATTTAACCCCTACAAGGAAAGTTGCAGGGGCAATTATTATGTGTCTACTTTTCCTGTTGACTTTATTGCCAAAATTGGTACATAAATGGTAAGAATAACTTTACGGACAAAGTAGTTTTACCATTAGGCATTGAAGTAACAATGTTTGGTAATCCCCTCCCCGTTTAATGGGAAGTTTTGTGGCATCTACCTCTTACACATTGGCATTTGTTTCATCATTAATTTGTAAAGTTGTAGGATAATTGAGTTGTGCCTGAAATGTGCCACCAAGATAATCTGCTAATTACGAATTTAGTGAGCCCTTAACAAATTGCCTTACAAAATGTGTAATGTTATCTTTTTCTTTTTAAACAAATTGTTTGGCATTTTTTTAGTGTACTATGTCTTAGTAAGTCCGTTCATGGGAAAAGAGTTTCGGTAAAGTATTTTTGTAGAACTTTTTCCTCGTTTGCATATTAAGTCATTCCCTTTTTTTCGTATTCATATTTAGTCTGAGAAGATCTAATTGTTGGTAAAATTTAGAACATCAAAAAGTACGGTGGGGATTATATGAGGCATTGTACAATTCCATGCTTTTCTACTAGGGCACACCGTGAAGAATTGTTTTGGAAACATTTATCCCATTTTAGAGATTGGCATACGTTCGGATATTCAAAGGCAGAAAAAAAATGTTCCCCGTGTTGTTAACTAATTTTTTTTTATTTGCCACTTTAATATGTTCGTCTGAGAATTACCATAAAAATGATGTAAGATAGAAATAAGATGTCTGTACCATTTTTTGTTTTCTTCTATTATGATTACACTTTTTATTTATTTAGGAAGATATTTATGCTGGCCCGTGCTTGCCTTTTTATAGTTTAATGTTACCCCCCAATTTAGTGCACATTTTTAAAGAGCGAACTGTCCTGTTCCCATTTTGTGTAGAGTCATCGCGAAAACAAATCATGCAAAGGACACACGAATCTGGAAGAAGCAGAGGATGTACCCAGCAGTATATCAGTGATAAAAAGGGAGGATACATTCTTGTTACCGGAAGAAACTGACCTGGAAGATTACTGGGAATATATAGAACCCGAGGAGCCCTCACAGAGGATAAGTATATTGAATAAAATAAAAAAATTCTTCCAAAAATTAATAAACATTGACAAATTTTGGGAACTGTTAAAAGGAATAGATTTATATTTTGTCCGAAATGTGCTGAAACCAATGGGATACTTATCCGAAAGGACCAAATGGTGGAAAGTTAGTACTAAGAAAATTTCTTCATGGGAAAGGCTTGTAAAAATATCAAAAATGTTATTTCCTATCGTTTTTCCTTTTTTATGTTCAATTATATGTTTTGTGATGCAGTCGTATTTCTCTGGTACGGTGTTGTTTTATGTGGCGCTACTTTTCCCGTCATATATTTTGTTAAGGATATTCAAAAATTATGAGAACCTGTAGAGAATCACGTGGGCAATTTTTCTTCTTCGTAAAGGAGAAATAAATTTTCCAAAATTGTCTTTCTAGGGGATTATTAACAACATTAATATTATTTTTGTGCGGATCTGTCCCCACGGATCTGTCCCCACGGATCTGTCCCCACGGATCTGTCCCCACGGATCTGTCCCCACGGATCTGTCCCCACGGATTTTTAAATTTAGCCCCAGGAGGTAGACACAGATAATTCGTGGCCACAATTATTAGCATGTTAAAAAAAGGGAACATTTAAAACAGTTTAAATTAGTTTTTTTTTTTTATGTAGATTGTTTACCCCCTATTAAAAAACTCTTAAAATGGCTATATTAAAAGATGAAAGTTACAATTAATTGGCACAGCGTGTCAAGTATTTCGGGATAACATCTTGTCAGAAATTAAAAGGAGCTCCTTTCGAGTTACACCTCTGTAGAGGAAAACTCAAGGGGAACAAATTTCCTTAATCCTAAATAGGAAAAGGGATGCTCTCAAACAGGTGAGGAGAATTGCCATTTCTGCTTCTGCGAAAGGGGATAAAACTGTTTTCTGCATGACGTAAAATATGCTAAAAGGCTACAACATGCTTCTAAAAAGGGTTATTCTTCTCTGTTCTAAAAATGGAGTAAGAAAAGATTTTAGGAGAATCCGAATTTTTGGAATAGGAAGGTTAAGCTGATTAAATGTAATGTGACCATTCTATGGATAAAAACTAATTGGTGACCAGGAGCTGTAATCTTAATGTGCCTCTATTTATCGTGAGCAAAGCATAGCCAAGGTACGAGAATGAGAAGAAGATGAAGCCCGCAAGAAGAGCGAGAGAGAGAGACTGATCTGAAGAATTGGACTACTTTACGTCACTGTTCAAAACAATTTTTACCATTTCGTAATAGGTGTTCCGATATGGGGACATAAATAAATTCGAACAAGCTAATTTGCAGGTTCTACAAAAGGACGTATGTGCACACATATAGGAGAATTTATGAGCGGTGCTATACGAAGCTGCAGAGTTCACTGGTGTCTCTAAATTCATTTCGTTACATACGAGGATCCCTTTACATATGTGAAGGTTATTGTGGCAGATAAGAACCGTGGAGAGCATTTGCCTAAGCTATTGCATGTTAGAAACTTAGGCATTGGCTTTACAACACATGGGATAATGCTCTGGTGATAAAGACAATTATAATGGAAAGGGCTTCAGTGAAAGAAGTACACATGTGCAGGGTGCCAACAAATTAGCGTAAACGTCCAAAGTGCCTTACGAGCAATTACTCTAACACTGTAATGTACCAAGTCAACATTTTACGAATATAGTCGCCTAACCAATAGTATACATAGAGTGGAACAAATTGCTTGAATACTGGATGGAGAAAGAAACTAGAATGGTACAGAGCGACAGAATTTCGGAGGCAAAGATTGTGCACAGTAAGAGGCCTCGCACATGCGGATGTATAGGTTCGAGGAAGTAAACTTATAAAAACGTGTGCTGCGAATTTAGGGAAGCGTTTTTTTCTATTTTCTAGGGCCAAACATGTGGAGTGCACGAATTCCAAATCATATGCAACACTGGTACATGCCCTGTGCTTCTCCTGAGTATATGCTGGCCGTACCACCATAAATACGGGAACAATTAGAAGAAATTACCACCCGCGCAAGATGTGTTTGGGGAAGATAGAACGCCAAAGCGGCTTTTATCTGTGAATTAAAACAGAGGGCTAACGTGTTAACATGTTAAATAAGCATATATATATATGTATAATGTATCTAATATATACTGCAGCCTTTCCGCACAAGTTTTTCTTGGTTTCGTGGATAAATTCTAAATTTAGGTAATGAATAATTCTTGTTAAACTTGCTCAGCATGGCAAGAAGGAATTTATAATTATCAAGAGCGAGAGATAATATGAAGAAATTTTAATTACCTTTAAGAGGTTATTAAAGATATACGCAGTTTTCTTTGATTCGAGTCTGTTCTTACAAACTTTCAGTGTTTAAGTCTACGTTTTTCTCGCTGAAAAAACATCGCGGAGGAAGCTTGCAACATGCCATAATTTTATTCTGGACATCTATGTATACGTTTGTATATGTATATTTGACGCGTAATATATAACCCACTATTTAGGCGCGCGTAGAAAAAATTTGTTAACCGGCGAGTAGAAAATGTTGTTAGCCAGCGCGTAAGCAAATCACATAGCATAGTATAAAAAGTAACTTTTCGAAAAAAAAGAAAAAAAATGTTAAACTAAATTATTTTTTTCGTTTAATTTTTTTCCTTTATGATTCTTTAGCGTAAATTCGACATGTACCATTTAAATTTTTCCAATACTTACGTTAAGCGAATTTTATTTTTTTGTAATAATTTTAATGGAAGAAAAAAGATATATACATGGTTGTACAGTTTATAAGTATAGGTAAAATTAACCATTGCTCTTATGAAGATATATTTTTTTGAAGTAGTAAAAACCATTCCTCTTAAAAAACAATTATAGGATGAAAAAGAAACGTTATAATAACAGAGGAAATGTTTTAACATGGCATGTGAATAATGACGAAGAATGTAACGGTGGAGAGGCTTCAAGTGTGATGCCATCAGTAAAAAAGCACAATAATAGAGAAAAAAAGAATACTTTTCCACTAAATAAAATACTCATCCTTTCCGCATTGCTGTGGACGTATCAATTTTTTAATGAGGTAAGGGAATGGGGAAGCCGCTGAGCCGTGGTGTTCCGTTTGGCTATAGGCATATCGCGCGTAGATGGATAAAAGTAGAGACTGATCAACGAATGAAAGCGGGAGTTCACGTATACAAGAGAATAGACATATATATATTTTTTCCCTTTCTCATGTGTCTGCGCCCCGATGCGGTGTGGTGACCATTCCACATAAGCGCTCCGTCAAAGGTACATAAATGACTTATTCATGAAAACCCATTTTGCACCTCCTTCTGCCAGGACTCGTTTGAACCATGCGGTCACAAGATAAAACCCAGAGATGGTAGCAGTGACATATTTCATTTTGGAACCAACAGATCCCTGTTTGAAGATAAGACTCCGTTCCAAACATTCAAAGATGATTTAATAAAAGACAACGTAACAAAAGATAATATAATAAATGAAGACTTAGTGGATAGTTCTGTAATTAATGACGGCATAGTGAGTGAAAACTTAAAAAACAGTTTAACTGATAAAACCAATGATGATGTTAACAGAGAAAAAGAGGAAATTAAATCCATTTTATATTCCTACATGGAAAAAATTGATGCCATGTATGAAGATAAATTATGTTATAAATTGTTTAGGAAATGCAGAGAAGAAGAAAATGATGAAAATCCTATGAGTTTTTTTTAGAATCCTTTTTTAAAGAAGCGGATATCGTCGTTGGGAAAAAGTATCTTTAACGAGAATTTATCTCAACCTATTTATAAATTTACATTTTCACAATGTTGCAATTTTGCAAATGTTGAAAAGGAGAAGAAGCAGTATTTTTTTTTTTTTTTCTTCTCCATATTTGTGAATCCATTTTATACATAAGATTTGACGTTAGGAGCAAAAAGAATATCTCATAGAAGAAGAATATTCTCTTGTTAAAAGACATGTAAACATATTTTTATGAAATTGTTAGAAGCAATCATGTGTAGCATGACCGATTCGTAACATATGTGATGGGCGTATGAATCCATAAATTGAAGAATATGTTGAGTTTTTTCACAAAGCAATATATTCATATAATGTGAGAGAAAATGTTGTGATTTCCTTTTGTGTCAAAAGTTTTTCCGTATTTTTTTTTCACATTTGTAAAATTTAGTTTTTCGTTTTTTTTTCTCACCCTTGATCATAATACTTCATAATGCTGAACGGTTTTGTGATTTTATTTATGAATTTTTTAGTTACTACCTTAACCATTTTGTCATACTATTTAATCTTTATAGTAATTATTTTTTCTCTTTTTTCTTTTTTGAATTGCTGTTTTTTTTTTTTTTGTAATATGCCAGTAGTGCCTTTGAAGCTATATTTTGTTTTAACTTTCAATTTGTTTAACAAACTTCTTTCTATGAAATCTAACTAATTTGAAAAGGTGCAAATGAGATATTCTACCAAAGATGTTCTAGCAATTTTGACGATTTTATTTAAATTTGTTGGCGTTCCAAAGGAATTAATTTTCCGCGCGTAATTTGTCTTTAGTGAATGGATTATATGCAACAATCTTCTGTCATTTTTGCTTTAACCATGTAATTTTGTGTGGCTCCCTTATAGGATAAATTAAAACAAAGCGCATCGAAAAAAGTACTGCGACGGTACGAATATGTATTTTTCCTCTTCCTTTCGCTGTACCTTTGGATAGATAGAGACGTGTGCACTGTATACAGTTGGACATATATGCAGCCCCAACATTACCCCCGCCGTTTCATACTGCGCGCAGTGAATAATTGCCCAATTTTTGCTTAATGCCTCTTTACATATAAGAAATCCCCAAATGGGAATTTTTCTCTTGCTTATACATTTATTTGCATGTGGTGTAAAGGTTAAAAACGAGTGCATATAGTTTTTTTAAATCGTTATTTTCCTTTTGCAATAATCAAATAAAATACGATATTATATTAATTATAACAAGTACATGTATTTTTTGTTGTATGAATTAAAACTAAAACAATACACAAGAAATGTATTTTAAAAGGGGGAATAAATAGAATAGTTTAAATATAAATAATCTGCCTATGGATGCATATACATGTGCTTAATATACATAATATATACAAATATGCACATACATATACGTATATATATAATGAATATTTAAAATATCTACGATGCAAAGCAGTTAAAAAGAAATATGATACAAAATGAAAATAAATAAAGAAGGTTATGAATTACTCTTACATATGTATAATATATACTCTTCGTTCAGATTTATGCAAAAATGGGAAAAAGAAAAAAAATACTATGTGGACGAACACTTGGGAACAATATTCATATAATATTTTTACACTGGATATATAATACTATGATATGAATGAATTATTTGCAGTAATCGTACTATTTATTTTCCACAATTTGTTGATTATATATGCACCCTATGCTAATAGAAAAAGAAGCTCGTCATATTAGTACAAACATTTTATGTAATTTTATTGTAACTAAAATAAAAGCATGCGTTTTAATTGTCATAATCATGAAAAAGGAGACAAAATATGTGTAGTATCTATCTTTCTTAATGCTTTCTGCGGCAGAACGGCTGTTTTTGTCCCTATCTATAATTCTTGAATTTTTCCTATTTGTTTATATCTATAATATATATATGTGGTCATTTTTTTTATTCGACGAACCGTGATCATGCGCGTGACGTGCAGTTGTACTAAATCATAATATTTGTAATCCGAAAAAATGAAATTTCTTGGCATCACTCTTTTCTTAACTTTTTGCAGTAGTTTCCCAGTACGTGTTGAATTTGCTGGTTAAATATTCTTTCCAGTGTTTTTCCATTTCTTTGGTAAAACCAGTCCATATTCCAATTAATTCATTTAAGAATTCAATAAATGCTATGTGGGAGCTATTCCCACTTTGAAGGAATGTGCACAACTTGTTGTACGCATTTTTTTCGTTGCGCAATAATTGATCTGACATTCCTTGGTATGCTTTGGTCCATTGTCTAGTCTTATAGTAGTGTGGGATCTTGTAAGTTTGGGCTAAAGTTTCACATAGTCTAGCAGCTCCTAATTGCATTTTAATATATTTAATTTTTTCATTATTGTTCACAAGGTTAAATAGTAAAAACATATCATCGAACTTTACGTAATCTTCTAATTTATCAATCATTTGAGCAATTTCAGCTTCGGTAACATGGAATTTAATATCTGCAATGTTAGTTGTATCCAAACCTTTCACATCAGAACCTGGTGGCATATCTTTGTTTGCATTTGGTGTTTTATTCGTGCCATTTTGCATATCCATGTCTCTGCCTTTTCCTCTTCTTCTATCTTTGTCTTCTTCTTCGTCCATATCTCTTCCTTTTCCTCTTCTTTTATCTCTGTCTTCCTCTTCGTCCATATCTCTGCCTTTTCCTCTTCTTTTTCTTTCCATTTCTCTTTCTATATCTGCTCTACCCATTATTTTACCTACTTCTCGGCCCAGTTCTCTGTGCATTTCTGGATTTTCTCCATTTTCGTCGTCCATTTCTTCTTTTCCCTTTTCTCTTCCTCTGCCCTTTTCACCTCTATCTCTTCTTCTGCCCATATCGTCTCTATCTCTTCCTCGGAACATTTCATCTCTGTCTCTTCCTCGAAGCATTTCATCTCTGTCTCTTCCTCGAAGCATTTCATCTCTGTCTTTTCCTCGAAGCATTTCATCTCTGTCTCTTCCTCGAACCATTTCATCTCTGTCCCTTCCTCGAACCATTTCATCTCTGTCTCTTCCTCGAAGCATTTCATCTCTGTCTCTTCCTCGACCCATTTCGTCTCTTTCTCTTCCTCGAAGCATTTCATCTCTGTCCCTTCCTCGACCCATTTCGTCTCTTTCTCTTCCTCGACCCATTTCGTCTCTTTCTCTTCCTCGAACCATTTCATCTCTGTCCCTTCCTCGAACCATTTCGTCTCTTTCTCTTCCTCGACCCATTTCGTCTCTGTCTCTTCCTCGGACCATTTCGTCTCTGTCTCTTCCTCGGACCATTTCTCTTCCTTCTTCGTCCATGTCACCACCGTCCTCTCTATCCATGTCTCTACCTTTACCTCTTCTCCTTCTATTATTTCTTTCCATTTCCTCGTCCATTTCTCCTCTGTTTCTATTTCTTCTTCTATCTCCTCTTTCCATATCCATTTCCTCATCTACATCTCCTCGGTTTCTATTTCTCCTCCTAGAGTGTTCCGCATCTCTCTGCATACCCATATTCATGTCTCTATTTCCTGGGTTATGTGGGCCTCTTTCTCCATCCCATCCGTCATGATGTGACATTTGACTCCTGGGATCCCTTCCACGGGGTCCCATTCCACCCTGACGCATGTTGTTAAATTGTTCGTCTGGAAAATCATATCTGTCATTTCCTGTGCATTTCTTATTCTTAGGTCCCTTTGAATAACTTCTCATTTCAGACAACTGCCTTGATGCATCAGTCCTTAATTCAGCTTCATTTTCATATGTATACTCATTCTGCAAAGTGAATTTAAGAAACAGAAATGTAGCAGCATAGGTTTGGTAACTCTAGAGCGATATGTATATACATCTATACATACATATACATCTATACATATATATATATATGTGATTATTTCTTGGGCGAGAGGGAAAATTTGAATTAAAAAGAAGGAATAAGGCAAAACAACAGCTAAATTAGGAGACAAAAATATAGGCAATAAGTGTTACGTATGCTTTATTTCAACTCTTACCTTTAGTACAACACATAATATGACTAGTAGAAGGGCATTCATAAAGCGAGGTGGCATGAAGTTTCTGCCATTCTTTCCGTTATCTTTATTTTTTATTCTCTTTGTATCATCAGCAAAATAACTCTGGCAGCTGTTCTTATTGGCAGATTTAGATCTTCCTGCTAACGCGACGGTCACTTTGTTAGAATTTACCATTCTAAGGAATATATATATATATTTTAAAGTAGAAGAAAAAAAAAGGGGGTTGATGATAATATATAAATGGTAAATGATTTTTCTCTGTTGCTAATTATCTAACAGAAAATATAAAATCCTTATTCCTTGTTCATATTAATACAATAAATCAAATACGAAAAGTAAAAAAAGGGAAAAAAAATAGGAATTAATATAGTAAATATTTTATTTAAATTATAATCGACCTGTTTTCCCTCAATAATTAATAGTAAAAAAATATATTAATTTAATATTATATTATTTTAATTAAAAGAAAACAAAATAATAAAAAAGAAAATAGTAGATAGTAAATAGTAAATTTTATTATATAATAATCTTTTATGTATCAAAATATAAAAATGAAAAAAGTATTCCACTATTTATATGTATTTTTTTCTCTTTTTTTTTTTTTAATATTTAAAAAAAGAAGAAAATAATAATGAAATAAAAATAATTATAATGTCGAGAGTACAGTACATATATAGGAAACATTTTCTGTTGAAAAATATTTTTCTCTACTCTTACCGTACCCGTAAAAAAAAATATATTAAAGAATGACGATAATTTTAATTTTTGTGGAATATATTTATTTATATAATATAAAAAGTATACATACTTTTTTTTCGGGGGTTCTCTTTTATATTTATACCATTCTACTCTAACATGAATAAAACGTTTTATTTTATTTAAATTAAATATTGATTGGTTAAATTGGTTTTTAAGGAAAAAATGTTTATTGTAGACGTGATTAGAGGTATATATTTCTTTCGATTTTTCTCTATGTATGTACCTTTATCATTACATTATGTTATCGCTTCTTTACTGCATTGTTGTTTTAAATATTATTCCCTTGTTTCATTTCAATTTTAATATTTATTCTTTCTCTAGCTATTCACAATAGGGGGAAATATAGGTTACAAAAATCGGAGAACTTCGTATTTTTAGAATAACAAAAAAATACTTGCATGTAAATTTCTAAAAGCATAATTAATTTTAGCAATTAAGTCGGACACATTTTTTTTTTAGGCAGGAACGACATTTTTAGATTGAGGAAAGATTTATCTTCCATACTTTCTTTTGATTGACTTGAAAAAAGGATAAATTTAATAAAAAATAAAATTTAAAGAGAAATTGAGAAAAATTACGAAAATTACGGAAAATCAATAAAAATTGCCAAAAATTAGAAAAAATTATTAAAAATTAACAGGAATACGAAAATTCTATTTTTTCTATAAATACAAAAATTACGAATTCTTTCTATTTTAATTTTCTTTTATTGAACTCTTTCTTGTATCAACAATTTAGTAAAGAGAAAAAAAGCTGACAATGTTTAAATAAAATTGCAAATGATCTATTCTACAAGTAAGAATTTCTTTTTACCATTCTTCCTTCTATAAATTGAGGTAGTTATCGTTAAAATTAAAAGTATTTGTCTTGTTCTGAAGTAAATATAAGGAATAAAATATTTCCGCGTAGGCATTTTTATGTACAATTATATACCTATGTACAATAAATATTAATAACAGGATGGGCGAATTATGAAAACGGTAATATTATACTACAGGGAAAAAACGAATAGTGCCCGAAATGATTTTCTTCTTCTTCCATAAATGCAAAGGGTGGGGGAAAAAGAATATACGTAATGTTAATGACTAAATTGACGTAATTAGAAATCTACCGTCAAAAGAAATTATAAAGTGATGTTCATTTGTGTATTTTTATAAATGCATATATATGCACTGCGATATGCGCTAATTCGACGGTGAACAAAATAAGGGAGCATGCGCATATATAATAAACCTATATTTTTTACCATAAATTAAATAAAGAAATTTTGTGATCTATATGATTGAGAAATGCAGATAGACATATGGATTATAGCTAAAGGGAAAAATAGCCTTTGTAGAGAACACTAATATTTTTTTATAGCCTTATTAAGAGGTTGTATATTCATAGAAATGGATGGAGCTGCACAATAGAGCATTAATGATAAAAGTGGATTCTACTAGGTTAAGCCATATGGGACACGTAAATTTGCGGAAAAAACTTATTATCAAATTTAAGTCAAAGTAGATTCAAATTTTCGTTCGAAACAAAATAAAATTTACGTCGTTATTCATAGTGCCCCTTTAAGATTCATAAAGAACACAACATTTTATTTTCAAAATTATTCGAAAAAGTCAACATATTACGTGTAAACAATCCGCACATATTATTATATACATATGTCTATATTGCAAGGGGGGCATATTCAGAAAACATACAAATAGCTAGTCCAAGCGATGAAAAAAGAATCGGAATCGCTTATAAATTTTTGTAGCACATAAATTAACACAAGAAGAAAAGGAGAAAATTGTTTAGTAAAATGAAATGTGAAGGATGTACAATTTGTATATTAAAAATTAGGGACTGTAAAGCAACAAAAATATATCTATATATACATTGGGTACATTTAAAAATAATTGGGTGTAACAGGAAAAACTATTTTAAGAAGAGCTCATTCATTAATATCTACTGATATGACACGTTCCTGTTAAGCATCATCGTGCTGAATTTATTTCTGTTTTTCCATCAATTTGACGTCGTTTTGTGAGATTCTGGCCAAGTCGCTTTTTTCCCCACTGTTACTGTAAATTTGTGATATAAGCACTGAAACAAATGTTTTTAAATAAATCCCCTCAAAAAAAGAAGGAAGAAAAAGGAAAAAGGGAAAAAATAAAACAAATAACGATAAGCACAGCGCTGCCGTTTTGAAACCTTCTACACATCCTCCATTCCACTTGTTCTTCATTCGGGGTTCATAACTCGGTAACTTATACGCAAGAATGGCCATAAAAAAAAAAGAGCCAAAATAAATAATAACATTATGTAGTTATTTACATTTTATCAGTCATTCCTGGGGTAATTTCTACGATATATGTAATTAATCTATGATTTAACCCATTCTTTCCATTGCCGTTCATTTATCAGCCTGTTAGTAATCATTTCCACCCATTTACTAAATATAAATCGTTTGTCTCTTTTCCATTTAGACCATTTATTCCATTTACTATTTAAATATATATTTTCTTTGGAGCGGACCCAATCTTCCCACTCTTCCCTTTCTCTGTTGATGCGCTCTCTCCATTCGGTCCATTTTTTTCTCTTTTTTCTTTGTAGCATGTTTGTAATTTTATGATTTTCATAATTTGACCATGAAGCCTCTTCTTGGAGTCTCCAGTCAGTCATTAACCAGTCGCTAATCTGCGAGTTCTTCCACCCTATCCATTGCTTTACAATCCAGTCGTTCAGATCTGCTTCCTTTTGAGAAAGCCATATTTTCCATTGATGTTCCATAAATTCTCTTCCTTCCGTTTTAATCCATTCTATCCATTGTGTGTCATCCCATGCTGCAGATTCTTCCGGAATGATGATTTTGTATTCCTCGTCCATTCTTTTGTTAATGTGAATCCATTTATTTTGCATAGCTTCTAGAAATTGCTGCCATTCTTGTTCTACTCGTTGAAGCCAATTGTCTTTTTCATTTTCAATGCATGTATTAAAAACTTTCCATTCGGTTTCATTTTTCTTCTTCCAGATATTCCATTGCTTATTTTTCCATTCCTCTGATTTTTGTCCTTGTAAATCGTCCGTTGAATCTTTATCATTGTAATCTCCGGTATGGAGCACAGTTTGTTTCTTAATAAGTTTTTTCATTCCTTCTTTCCCAATTTTATTTGTCCTTATTATTTTATCGAGTAAACTCGTTTGACTTCTTTTTCCATCAGCCGCTGATTCGACTGTTTGCACTTCTGCTTTGTCTGCTTCTAAACCAGTGTTATATCTGTGTTTTCTTTTTTCGGCACTTTCGTTTATCCTTTTAATATTGTTATCGTTTAGTTTCTTTGATTGATTACTCTGGTTCGCTTCATTTTTCTGGTTGTTATTTTCCGCATTTGTTTCTGTACTCTCCGTTTTGGATGCACTTTTGCTGGGTGATTCCTTTCCGTCTTTCTCCACAGTTTCCTGTTGTACTGTGTTAGACACTATTGCGTTCCTTGATGACCTTCTAATTCTATTTCTTGCTGTGGTTAGAAATTGCGGCTGAAATTTATGAACAGTTAAAGTGGGTTAGGAAGTGTGGAATACAATAATGGGACATATATATATATTTGTCTTTTCTATACGAACACTGTTGGAATGTAATGTTTTTTACAAAAAATAGATGAAATAGCTGTGCCAACATATGTGTACACGTCGGTGGTTATTTTTTTCCTACCTGAAAAAGACGACAGATGAAGAATAACAACGCAAAAATAAGAACGCCGATTAGTATATTTGTCACGTTAAGATTGCCGTAACTGCTCAGTGAGGAGTACGCATCTTCTTCCGGTAGTAGAGATGATGACAAGGTTTCTGGCATGAGTTGTTCGTAATTGCTAAGTGTTTCCATGGTTTCTTATTTTGAAGTAGCTCACAAAGTCCTTACAGGCGAGGAGAATGTTCTGTTAATGTTTTTAATAATTGTAACATAACGAACTACGCATAATGTGATGAACTGAATACTCGATGCTTCTAATTGAATGCAAGAGAGCGTAACCGTAGTTAGTGCAAGAAAAGGTGCATAAGGGTAGGGGCCAATGGGGGAAGCAAGAAATGGGGAAAAAATAGTACACTTACAAGAAGGCGAAAAGGGACTTAAAAAAAAAAAAAAAAAAAAAAAACCAAAAACAAGATTTTACTCGTTATATACCCTCTAAAAAAATAGCGTACACATCGTAAATTTATAAAAATACGAACAGGAACAAAGGACAATTTCAATCTATACAACAGTGCATTTCTGTTTCGGTAGTTGGAATTGTAGAGTATACAAATGAAATACTTCGATAAAGCTGGTTATTTATTTATACTTATCAGTTACCTTTGCGGATAGATACAGTTGGTATAAAAAGATTAGGTAGTGCTCGTTTTATTTTTAGGAATTTCTGTCATAACATGAAAAAGAACAAATCTTGTAACTATAACCCTGAACATTTATAGATATGTGCATTTTGTTAGAAAGGTTTTGTCATGTTAGAATTTTTCTTTCTTTTTTTTTTCTACTTTTATAATTCCACCTAATTGATTTAAGAATATATCATAATGATAAAGGAGATTAATATAATTACGAAGAGAGCGAAATATGTTTATAAATAATTTGATACCTATTTTGGCTGCGAATTCATGCGCACTGTTAAATTTATCCTAAAAAAAGTAAAGGTGTTCATCAGATTAATAAGCCAAAAGAGCAAACCGTGTAGAAGCGAAAATGATAATTATTAAAAAGAACAAAAAACGATTTTGCAAAACGTGCACTAGAATAATAAAAGAGGTAGCAAATCTTTTATTTCCGTTCTACACAACTTTGTTATATACCGTTTTGTATCATGATTGTCGAAGATGATGCTGCTTACGGTGATGTTTGTAGAGGAATATATACTTTCATTTTGTTTTTCTTTATAAAACTGCGTGATTAAAATTTTCTTTTATGTTTTTGTGAGGAGGAATATTTTTACTTATTTTATAACCACATAATAATTTTCTTTTCGCTTTGTCGATGGAATGAACTTTTCCTTGGTTGAACAAATAAAGAAGAAAAATGAAGTGTAGTAACACGCCCCCGAGAGAACGCAACTGATGACATTTTTGTTCTGCCTGCATCGGAGTATTTTCGATGAGTTAAATGGTTTCATTTTGTTATGTTATCTTATATTTCGATATATTTTGTTGTATATATTTTATGTTTATATTTCTTGTGTGATTCCTTCCTTTTCTTTCATTATATGCCAATTTGACACTATTCATGTCCAGTAAATGTTGCCCATTGCAGAAATGAAGATAACATTTATTGTACGATTCTTATTGCTTTATCTGAAGAAAGGTTCGATCTCCTTATTTTTGAAAAATGATAAGTAATTAATTTGTCACACATCCATTCGAATTTGTATGCGTGTAATCGTGCGTAAAATGTATAAATAACTATGTGAGTATATTTTGCAAACGTTTTGATAGCATTTCCTTAATTAAGACGTTAAGAAACAATATATGAGCGGAATAAATGGGACAACTGAACCTAGAAAAAGAAATAATAAAAAAATTACTATTTTAATATGTGTATAATTAACTTCTTCTACGATTATGCGCTTAACTATTCGAACCACATCGAAGAAAACTATTCTCCATTCAATTGTCAAAATAAAGGGATAGAATCGCGCACTAATTGTGTCATTTACAGTGTATAATACGTTTTTGTAATACCACTGGTTTACGATTCTGCTTTCAGATGTTACCCCACAGATTCAGGAGTATACGAACCTTTGCATTTTTACAAATACAGAAGCAAAAAGAAAGCGGTAACGGAAAAAGTAACGCTAAAAATTTAATGATTGCAAAAAAGGGTTAATTTTTCAATATAGCCTGTGCTCTACAGGTGTGAAATGGCAGAAGAACAAGTAAAATTACTGCCGAGAACAACGTGACTTTAAAGAAGAGTAAAAAGGGTATACACTGACCCATACAGTGTTGTCAGCGTATTTTTATATTCCTATTTAGGGCGTTATATATTATAACAAAACTAGAATGGCAATGTTTTCTTGTCTTTATTTAAGAAAAGAGCTACAGGGATATAGAGTGAGAGTATGCATAGAAATGTAGGGTAGAGGGGTATAAAAAGGAAAAAAAAGAGTAAAAAGAAAAGGAAAAAAAAAAGAAAAAAAAAAGAAAAAAAAAAGAAAAAAAAAAGAAAAACATTTAAAGCGTCTTCTAAAATAGTGAATAAGTATAAACGACATATAGAGAAGCCTGTACCTATTAAAATAGCTGTGATATTGCTTAGACTTCCAAGGAAGAAATGCTAGAAAAATTTCAACTGCACTATTTATTTTTGTACATAATAAAATTTGAAATGGATTTATGGGGGTTATTTAAGAAAATGTGTGCAGTGAATAATATGGCAAATTCTTCAAAATTCAGAGATGGGGTGTTATCTGTAGGTTCGAAAAACTACAGAGGGACAAAAAAAAATATATGACGGGCATGATGCGCACATTTTGCAAGAAAATCCTTTAATAAAGGTACAAGATTGCATTTTTTGCTTCCTCTGTATAGGTTAATTTTTCTTAATCTCTTTGTGTCTTGTCGTGCTTACTGAGGGAATTATTTAATACAGAATGATTCGTCTTTTCGCATATACATAGAATTGGCCCTTTTTTTATGCCACGTTTGTCAATGAAATAGATGTACTAATGTAGGTTACAAGGAAAGTTGGGGTCTTAGGCACACCTTGCTTGACCTAAGTGTTACTTGTTCATTTGTGACTTCTTCCCCTCCCTCCCTTCACCTCTGTTAAAAATTTATTGAAGGATTGTTAAATTAAAGGAGAGAAATAGGGAATGAATTTCCACTCCTTGTTATAATGCCTTGTTCGGGTCTGAAAAGTTTTACCTTCTAATCTTGGTTTCTATTATTAGCTTCCTTAATCCAAACGTTCCACTGCTTTCTCTGTATCCACTTGTAGACAAGGTTAGTTGACCATTTGTCAAATAGGATTTTTTTATCATTTTTCCACTGGGACCATTTTTTCCATTCTTCTTTGATATAAGCGCTTTCTTTCATTTGGACCCAGTTCATCCACTGTTGAGACTCTCTGTTAATTCTTTCTTTCCATCTAAGCCAATGGTTTTGCTCTGCTTCTCGTAACCATTTTGCTGTTGAGGCGCTCTCTATATTTGCCCAGTAGTAATCTTCTTCGGTTTTCCATTCACTGGATAACCAAGATCGGATCTTACCATTTCTCCATTGAACCCATTTATCTAAAATTAATTTTTGTAATTGATTATCTGCTTCTTTAATCCATTTTTCGCATTGCGCTCCTAGAATTCTTTTTCCTTCAGTTTTTATCCAATTTCCCCATTGCCTGTCATTCCAGGTGTCTGATTCTTCCATATCATTAATTTTTTGTTCTGTAACCATTTTCCCACTATAGGGAGACCATGTACTTTCCAATGATCGAAGCCAATCAGACCAAGCTGATTCTCTTTCCTGGAGCCATTTTGTTTTGTCTTCTTGAACAGATTCATGAAAATGTTTCCAGCTGCATTCCAATCGTATCATCCAATTATTCCAAGCCATTCTTTTGAATTCTTCTGATTCTTCGACGGTTAACTCGCCGAATCCTATTAAAATAGGTGACACAAAACTATATGTGTTTCGTCTATTAGCTGCCGCCTAGGTAGAAAAAAAAAAAAATTATTGCGGATGGTTGGTAGGTACTCGGAAAAATGGAATATATTCATTTGTACGCATTCATAAAGAGGGAATGAAGCTGCGTCCAATTTGTTTAAAGCCTGCTTTATAGTTTTAACTTACCCCTGAGGCAGTATTTACAAGAACAGCACATGATAAGGCAAATATCAGAATGGATAAACGCGAAAGGATTGAAGTGGACTTTTTTGGGGCACTTTTGTATCTCCTTGTGGATGTGGTTCGAGAAGGTGACCTTTGTGAGGTCAATGTGTTATTGTACTTCTTCAAATCCATGTTTCATACAATTTTTTGAAAGGGTGATAAATTTAAGAAAAAAAAAAGGAACTATGTAATTTATATGAAGTATGGGATGGTATGTAGTAAACGGAACTGTCTATAATATACATACGTATATTGCAATAGAGGTTTCTGCGATGGTTAACAACATTTCTCGCTTTCCATGTGAGAAAACGCACAAGTATAATTTGAAATAGGAATTAGAAAATCGTAAGAAACAACCAATGAAGCTGATATAAAATAATTAGGAAAAAAAAAAAAAAGAAAGAAAAAAAACGGATAAATCAATCATGCATTTTTTAAATAGTTGCATACGAATTTTGCGTAGAACACACATAAAATGGAGCTCATGAAATGAAAAAAAAAATATATAAACAAACACGCAATAGGTGAACAAATTTGTAGTTTATTTTTCGCAAAATCGGTACCCGTGGTAAGGGCCTATACCAATATGCTTCATGACTTTTTTCGAACAAATTATATTTCTTGACATAACATGAATTTTATTTACTTAGATTAATTCGAGCTTAATTATTTTAATATAGAACAAGTATTTTCTATAATGCATAACTGATGCTATACTTCTGGGTTGAATTTTAGGAAAAATAATATATTATTTTTTATGTTTTTTGCGTAATTTTTGCTTGGGTCCTTTTATTCGACGTGTCAACAAATATTTGTTCTGTTTGCAGTATAATATAATGGAATAATTATTTGAGTAACCTAAAAATATATCCTTTTTGGAGAACGTGCTGAGACAGTAATTTCAGGGATTCGAAATTTGGACGCTTGCGATATCGCACTTAAAAAATGTATGAGTGCGCATTCCTTCTTGCAACTGTTCTTTTTATTTTTATTCAATTTAAAATTGCTAGAATATAATGCATTTTAATTAGAAAACAGAAGAAAAAAAAAAAAAGGAATGCTGAAAAATGTTTTATTAAAAATGGCCCAATAAATTATACCTGTTGAAAAATATCCTTTTGCCGTCTCGTCGATGGAAATTGTCATAAAAGAAATACAGAATTATTTGGGTAAATTCTGCTAAAAAGCATTGATCTTTTTTTTTGTACTATTTCTTTCCAAAAATTGTACTACATCTTTAATGAAGCAGATTCTCGGTCGTCCAGAGGGCATATGATAATAGCGCGGTTCCAGCATATATTTATTTTATAACCCAATTTGTATATTACGATTCTGTTTCAATTAGGATTTGCAATTTTTTTTGCTTATATTTATGTTGGCTTTGCTTGAAGCAGTAAATTTGTTTCGTCGTTGTATCATAAAAATGAAGGGCATACTGAAAAAAAGGACGACTGTTATTTTATTAGCCTACAAAATGTGAGGCAATATTTATCGCTTTCCTTAAACCTTATTAAAAAGAGCTAACAGAATAAAGGGGGTCCTCATATAATTTTATAGACACGCGTTTTTTTTTAAATATTTTACACTATTATTGATATTCATAAGAAGCAATATTTTTTACGGCGTCAGAGTCCATATATTTGAAGAGGAGTCAATATTAGCGTACCAAACAGGTTAAATTTTATAGTAATTCGTTTAACTTAAGAGTAGCAACACATAACATAGCCGCTGTTATAATTTGACATTTTTCTATGAATTCGCAAGTAACTTTATAAAATACATAAACACCCAATGTATAATATGCCAAATAGTTTTATGAGAAAAATTTTTGAGAAACCTTGGGGAGGATTAAAATGTAATAAGTGTGTTAAAAAAAAAAAAAAAGAACATTGCACGAAAAAATAAAATCATACCAATATTTTATAACAGTTTGGCGCCAAATTAAATGCTTACATAATTAAATGCAAATGATACGAATAACTACTTTTTTAAGGAAAATTTTTTATGCGTCTTTGTTGGATAAAGAGGAGTGTAGTTATTTTTCTCTATTTCTAAAGGGATTTAATGTAGTCCCATTTGTAGTCTCTTCTGCGGAGTTTTTTTTTCTAATTAATCCCTCGCAATAAAATTATAAGCATAAAAATGTGTTAGGATTTTGCTATTTATTGGTGCGAAATGTGCGTAAGTTATTTCATGGTTAATGATACAGGATTGTTCCTGATATTCCTTAAGCGTTTGTAATTGATGAGAGAATTGCACAAGGAATAAAATACACATTTGAAGCCTTCGCACCATTGGTCCCTTCTATATGAGAAGGTTGTGTACATATATATATGTAATATGTACATTGTGGGGAAGTGACCATGTTCTACAATTGAAAATTTTTTTCTGGGAGAAAAAGAACCCAGAGAAGTTTTCTACTTCGCGAAGTACGCGAACAGGTGCGGAGGTTCACAATATATAAAATAAGTTTTCTGCACTGCTGCCCTGTTACGTTATGTCTTATATAAAAAGATGACGCACAATGCCTGCATTAACAAAGTTCGATATATTTTAGTTCTAATCATATAAAATACAATATGTTCATTTTTTCATACTAATAAGGTTATTTTAAAAAATAAAATGCAGTTGCGTAGCTTCTTTTTGATTAGGCGTTGTTGAAAAATCGCATTTACTTGATACTGGGGCATATGGAAAATTAATAGCAGAATGAATTATATATGATCACGATTTGTAAGTAAAGGAGGAAACGAATTAGTTCTTCAGATTTTCGATAGATAAAAATTTGATACCATCTTTTTTTTTTCTTCTTTTTTATTCTTTATGGAGGGAGGTTCCCTCATTCACATGGCGAAGAAGGAGCATGACTTTTGAACGGGAAATGTGGAAAAATGTTTTTCTATACATGTACAACAGGTATTACAATGATGATTAGGGATCTTCTCCAAATTGACAGAGAAAGGGAAAAAAAATGCAACACTACATGGCTATATTTCTAGACTTTAGTGTATTTTGAAGCATGAAATGGATATATAAGTGATTTATTTTTCCCTATTGGGGGAGAAGACGAATAGCATAATTGTGACACACTTAAAATGAACAATGTTTCTCGAATGCATTGTTAAGAATTTTTATAATAGAAAAGTTTTATATTCCCATTTATACATAATAGCATACGAAATATATGAATAGAAACGCTTCATACGTGCGTACGTTATTACAGTGTCAGTAATTTTAGCTACGATTGCGCAGAAAATGGTTTCCCCTGTTTTGAGGACTTAAACAGAGGCTCAGTTAGGATCAAGGAGTGGACATATATAGAGAGATCGACAGTTGCATTAGGGGGAACTGACATTTCGTCAGTGGGTTGGCAATTTTGATGAGACGAATAGCTATATATGGAATGCATATAGAGCATAATGGGTTAATTACAAAATAGCAAAAGTAGTTTCCTTTTATCATTTGGATTTTGTAAAAAGCATATATGGTATAGATAAATTATATTTAAAAAAAAATGCATCAAACAAAATTCCGTTTAGACTTTCTTTCCGCAAAAATGTTGCTTCTATTATTTACGTATACTGAAGTTGTTCACAAAGCATTCTTTTAACTCACTCTTAACAAGAAGGCGAAATAGTTATATTTCATGTAAAAAATGGATGCACCGAAAAACTTGCATAAAAGGAGGAAAACATACGAAAAAATAGAATTTTTCTTAGAGCTCAGAATTTTATTATATTTACATGCGATGGAGGCACTATTTTAATTGTTGAAAAATGCATATCTATCCCGCCTCCTAAAAAAAAGAAAAGAAATTTACGCTTTTACGGGAAAAATGATGGCAGATTATTGCGCATACGAATCTTTTTTTTTCTTTTTCTCAGCGATTGCATCATATATGCCATTTTCCTTTAGCAATAAAATGGTAAAAAAAAAAAAAAAAATATAAAAAATATGTACGAAGAAATATATTCCATAATGTCAATAAAGAATAAACTCTTTCAAAGAATGTACTTCGAAACAATTCTACTTGCTACAAAACGAAACAGTACAGTTAGTCTTTTTCTTTTTTTCGTGGAGCTCGTATGTATTTATGTATACAGTATTTGTAGTACATGTGATATATTTTGCCTTTTATTTTTTTCATTTTTCAATATAGTTCTTTCTAGCTAGGGATTATATTTGTTGTCGTTCTATCAGATTGGCTACCTACTCACTTTAAAAAAGGAAAAATACATATATATATATTCATCGTTTGTTTAATTGTGTACCACATATGCAAGAGAGAACAGTTCATCGGTATAACTGCTCTCATATGGTACGTTATGAATTATTTTATTTTTCATTTGTTAATTTTTGTACGTGATGACTGATAGTACCATATACGACACAGAAATAGATATAGAACCTTACACTAGACTAGATGAAAAGCCAAGGCTTGATTCATTCTTTAATAAGGATGGGTTGTTGTTACGATCATACGGATGGCTAGCGAAGAATGCTATAGGCATTATAATATTAATCCATGGTTTAGGTTCACATGCGAGATTGACCTATTTAAGACATAACGTTGAGATAGTAGATAACAACAAAGCCATATTAAAAGATGGAAATAATTTTTACGTTTATAAAGACAGTTGGATAGAACATTTTAATAAAAAAGGCTATTCAGTATTTGCATTAGATTTACAAGGTCATGGACTGTCTGATGGGTGGGACAATTTAAAAGGTAACGTAAAAAAGTTTGATGACTTTGCCTTCGACATATTGCAGTATATTACTAGAATTCAAGAATCATTGGCTTATGGTGATAATAAGGATCATGCAACTTCTTCTGATAATATTAACCGAAGAATTAATAAGAGAAGACTTCCAGCATACATTATGGGTATATCGATGGGCGGAAATATTGCATTAAGGACATTACAATTATTGGGGAAGTCTCGAAGCGATGCAAATAAAAGGTTAAATATAAAAGGGTGTATCTGCTTATCTGGAATGATTTCTGTTAGACTATTAACATCCCCAGGTTCACCGATGTATAAATTATTTCTTTTACCCTTATCGAGTATTATTTCGGATTTTTTTCAAAACTCAAGACTTATTTCAGTGTTGCCTTCCCGAAGGTATCCATACATTAATGACATTTTAAAGTTTGATAGAATAAGCATCAAAGGAGGGATAACCTATCGACTTGGTCGCGAACTCCTAAATGCAATGGGAAACTTAGACGATGACATAAATCATACTCCTAGGAATATTCCTATTTTGTTTATTCATTCAAAAGATGACCCATTATGTCATTGGCGAGGCACCGTATCCTTTTATAGGAGAGTGAAGGTTCGTTATAAAGAATTGCATCTTTTAGAAAACATGGAGCACGTATTAATTGTGGAACCGGGAAATATGAAAGTTTTAAATATTGTTTTCGACTGGCTTACTACCATATCTGGAGGCCAAATAAAACAGAAGCCGAATGATAATCAGCAATGATGTTATCCATTTCCCTATGAAGAAAAATTTCAACATTAAATTTTGATAAATTGAAGAGATGAAGATATTTAAGTGTGCTTCTATTTGGCGTACGTACATACATATTTGTAATATTTCACGAAATTATAATTAAATGCGTGAATTTTTTTATTTTTTCTTTCTTTTGTTACTATAAAGTGTATTTTTATACACTATTGTCTAACAACTACATTTTCCATCGTAAACTGATATGTTAAAATTCGTACACGATTTTGTTAAGCTTTGATTATATTCGATTATTTTTAAGCAGCGTACACTGGTTTTTGTGTGAGAAGCGGAGAAGTATAACGTAGATTCTGATTAGTATGGTGTTTTCTTGAGGATTCTTTTTTTTTCTCCTCTTCCTAAAGGCAGAAATAAATGTGGAAAAAGAGGAAAGTATAACCTCAATTAGTAGTGCTCCCTTCTTCAAATCCCTTGGAGGTTATGCGGTGCTCCCTTTCACTTTATGTGACGCGCTTGATGAGCATTTCACCATTTCATATATTACAGTTCTCTATTCCGTATTAGTGTAGCAACGTTACATATAAATAAAACACAGGAGGGGTGAATCCCTCCAAGTGGTACGGCAAAAATAATGCTGCAGTAAGATTTGTAACAAATAGAATATTTACGAAATGTGTATTTGTTGGTTTGTTCTTATAAACTTAATGCTTGTTAAAATTTCTAAGATGTTGCTTTCAAGCACGTTAATAAAAAAAAAGAAGTGAATAATTAAATCAATGAAATCAATTGAATCAATTAAATCAATTGAATCAATTAAAACTTGATTTTCCAGTCCTAGACATGGAAAAAAAAAACGATTCGGTATATACATTTATATGATTAAATTCAGAGCGTAAAATGAACTGATAGAATATCACATGCACGACTTTAGACAAATGCTTTTTATCATAGAGAGGGAAACCTCTTCAATTTATGTGATAAACATAGATTTGAAGGACAAAGTTCAAGTTTAGGTTTTGGGGAGTTTTCATTTTTTGGATAGCACCTCTGTCTGAGGTGTACATTTCCCCATGAAGTGCTGCTATATGCATGGATGGGGGCTGTATTTTACGGAAAGCTTTAGCTCTTCAACTCTGCGCATCTGCCGGGAGTACGGATATTTGGAGTGTACTATTGCACGGACAGTATTCTGGTGGCAGAATCGGCTGCTTTTTAAAAGTACCGACCTCAGAGAGGAACTCTTACTTGAAGTGTCAATTGCCGCAGGAGTACTGTTATGTGAGGTCCTGATATATTTGGGGTTTAGGGTGCTATTATTTGAAGAGCACATGTGTCTAAGGAATACTCACGCTTGAGGAGCTCTATCATTTGCAAATTATACCTATCGCAGCATCACAAGTTTGCGAAATGTACGGATAACATGCATGACTATCGTATGAACCCCACGGACATTCGTGGGGTACTGTTTTGTACACTGTACGTGTATGCCCTCAGTATTAGTGTTCAAATGGTTCCTGATTTAGGGTTCTCCTATTTGAGGAGCACTATTGATTGAGGAACATGGATCTCCCTGAAGCACTGTTGTATGAAGAGCCTAGTTGTGGGAGTTGTATGCCAGGGTTTGCAGTTGTTCTATATGAAAGAGCTGGGTGCACACAGATCTATCATATAAACACCATAATTGTCTGAAGTCTATGCATCTTGGTGGAATACTAATATATCGAAAGTTTAGTTATTTGAGGCATGCTGAGGTAGGTGAAAGGGAAGGCTTTCTTTACAGCATTATTGTATGTTGAGTGCATACGCCCCCGGGATCTCCTATGCGGAGGCTTCGAAAATTTAGGGCTTAGATTGCCATGATTGGAAGAAGACTACTTAGTGAACAATAGTAGTGTTCGTGGAGCACTATTATTTGAAGAGTGCCGTTCACTAAGATTTACAATTCTGTGAAGAGTAGGGAGGACTCGAAGCAAAGTTGTATGAACCGCACGGATTCCCCGCATCAGTGTTGTGTGAACCATACACATATGGCTGGGATACTATTGTATGTCCAATACTACTATATCGACAGGGCAGTGATGTGCATTGTGCGCACGTGTCTGGAGTACTATTCTTTGTGGTGTAATGTTCTCCTGGAAGTATTATAATTTGAAGAGTAAAGATCCCTCGGGAGTCAATTTATTTGAAGAGTATTGATATACCAAAGATAATTCTATTCGTACTGTACCAGTGCCCGAAGGATACTATCATTCGGAGGTTCTCGACGTATCTGTAAGGCTCTTAAATGGAGAGAACTATTGTGCGAACCATGGGGATGTACCCGAAGTAGTACGTTGTCAAATGAACGTATGTATCTCCAAAAATTGTTATGTGGTGGATTCAGTACATATGGATGCATTATATATGAACAGCATGATGGTACATAACATACGAAGGTAGATGAAACTGCAGTATTTCTTGTTTTCTCACAGGGGTTAAGTCCTGCGCTGTATTATAGGAAAATAACAGTTCTGTGCAATGCAATATGTATCCACATTACCCTTCTATGAAGTGAACGAGTATCCTCATAATACTGTTACGTGAAGAGTACTATGGTTCCAGGAATATCAACCGTAGTGGTAACATGAATGTAGCAGGAATAGCTTGAGAAGGGGATGCGAATACTCATGAGAGATTAACAGATGCTTATTTTGGGAAAGAGCAGAGAATGAAGTAACAGGAATAACCGTAATGCACTCTACACATTCGGGGAATTGGGGGGTCTAGAACATCTGTCTACTTAGAAGGAGGAAGAAATGTATAGGTGAAACCATATGAATGACATAGAAGTATCAGCAAATGTGAACGTACGTATGAAGTGAAGAATGCAGAGGGGCGTGAGAGAAATGGACCAAGCGACACCAGAGGAACTTAGCGCACAGCAGTACATGAGGGAATATACATAAAATAGGATTCCATTGAGGGAAGGGCAAAGTGGAAACGTTGGAACAAAACTCCAATGACATATATGGAGGGATGTTAACGAGGGCTAATTCCCCTTGACATAATGGAACAGTTCATTACAAGCTTACATATGTCTTAAAATATACTCGTTTATTCACAGTTAGGAAGAAATCTATGTAGGTACCGAATTGGTTACATGTATTAATTCGTGTGATGAATTTTTTTTTGTTTGTATTTTGCCCTATGGCATGAATTACGGAATCTACAATTCTATTTGTTACACTAGGACGTAATGTCCTAGGTTATCCATTGGCGATTGTATACACGACTGTATATAATCATTTACAATGGATTTTTTTTTTTCAAATTTTAGCAGCTTCTTTAAAACCAATTTTGTTCTTGTAAAAATATAACACATCTTTTGTTAAAAATTATGGGGGAGTTAGCACATTCAGACTTCTTACACTTAGTGTAAGGTGTTATTTATCGTTATATTTGACATAATAATTATAGGGGTATCTATATTGACTAGATGGGTCACTGGTGGTCAAAGGTTTTGCGATGAAAGTTTTGTACTTCCCTGTATATTCCCCCTTGCCCTGATGTGGCACATGGGCATCACGATTTTTTGGATTGCTTTACTCACATAAATTTGATTCTTATTTTTTCTATTTCTCTGGTGATTATCAGCAAAGAGGCCATAAAAGTAATTTTTTAAGTTAGAAAAATCTTCCACCTTTTTATATATGACATTATTTGGGCAGTAGAGGGGATTCACTAAAACTTAATCGATCCGATCATCTGCCCTTTTAATCAGATTATGTGGGGATAATTTGCGGCAGAGTGTTCTACATAATTCCAGGGTCCATGGTTTATCAAGGGCGCCTAAACCATCTTGTTAAAGAGAAAGAAAAAATAAAGAACGAAAAGAAGAGTATATGAAATTTTCACAAAAACTACTCGACTCAAAATAAGAAAAAAGACATTAACGGATATTCGTACATAAAATTAAACTGAAAGAAAAAAAAAAGGAAAAAAGAAAAAAACACCCTGCGCAGTGCCTACATATTATTACTTATGGATATAATACGTACCTGGGGGGGGGGGGGGTGCTGATTTACTCGCTGCAGCAATTGCACATTACCCTCCCCTCGAGTGAAACGAAAACTCGGCGTGCCAGGAACACATTAACCTTGCGGAAAAAACCATGAAGAAGAATTTTCTACGTAAGCAGCGACGCATGTACATGCATACATCGATATACTTATATATTGCTGTGCGTTCGACGCTGTCACTACTAAGTTGAAAATTGCTTTGAAAAAAGGGGGGATCGACTTTTCCTTTTTTTTTGTTTTCTCTCTTTTTTTTTCTTCTAAACCAGTACAGATATCTTCTACGTACGTGCGAGTCCGCAATTTCTGATTCTTTTAAAAATAAATGGATTCTATTTCATTCATAAGAAGATAGAGGCATATGTACATTTAGCCCCCTTTTCACTTACATTCGTGCTACTTAGTTATTGATTTCTGAGCAGCTTATAAAATACTATACCACAATCTGCTATTGCGGACGCGCAATGTACTGACGGATACGTCACAGGTGATCATCAAACTCTAAAAAGAAACCTTGAATTCTAATCCTAAACGTGAACCCCCGACACAGAACGCGAAACCATGTATACAGAATAAAACATGATTAGAAAAGCGCATCATCATTTATTTATGTATCTATCGTTTGTAAAAGGAATAAACTGAGAAGGAGAAGTCTTAAATATTCATTTCAGGCTTCATCCAATAGGAAATTATGCCTTTTAATGTACTGTTCCGATGGGTCACTGTGGCACCAGAATATACATAAGAAGTGCTTCTGTTGCCCACAGACAATTCAGGTTACCCCGTACAGTTATTCATGACTAGGTGGGATTCGAAGCAATGTTTATAAGAATAATCGTGTTCGAAAATATATATGAAAGAAGATGTTTCAAGAAGTGTTTACATTAGAAATGCCTAATCGTTGTTATAATATAAGTTAGTGAAATACTAAAAATATCAAAGAGAACAGTGAAACAGAAT